TCGTCGGGAATGGCGGTCGTCGCCTGGAGCTCGAAGAAGCAGACCACCGTTGCGCTCTCTTCGATGGAGGCTGAGTATATGGCAGTCGCGTACGCTGCGCGGCACACGATTTGGATGCGCGCCATGCTCGCGGAACTGACCTGTGAACAGCGGGATGCCACTACTCTCAAGGCTGACAACAAATCAGCGATCGAGCTGTCGAAGGACAATGTCCAGCATTCAAGGTCAAAACACATCGATATCCGGCATCATTTCATTCGGGAATGCATCGCCGCCGACACGATTCGACTGGAATATTGCCCGACGGACATCAATTCGGCCGACTTGTTCACGAAGGCCCTTGCACGCGATCGTTTTCAGGCTTTGCGCACACAACTCGGCATCTTGCTGATGCAGAGTTGAGGGGGAGTGTTGGAGTATGGTCACGCGCTTGCCTTACTGCTTTGGGCACGCTTTGCGAACGCTTGACGGTGGCACCAACGCCACTACGCCTTCTGTCTCGGATCTACATTACGATAGTCTTTATGTAGTACATGTATATATAGACTCCCGCGGCTCCGCTGTAGAATCATCTTCTTTCCCCACGAACTTCTACATGAGGGACATAGTCGTCAGGGGACGGAAAGGGGGATGGTAGTGTACAAGTGGACGACGGGGGAACAGGAAGGTAAGCATAGGTCGCCGGAGACAGGAAGGGGGGTGGAGTGTACACGAGGGCGACGAGAAGGAGTAGTCAAATAACGAAAAGATAGGGGGTGGGGCGTACCAACGGTAACACCATTCAGTATAACCTCCGCATTCTGAATGATTTCTGCATGGATATACACTAGGTCTCTAACAAAACAATCTGAACAGTTCATCCATGATTTACTGAGCTTCAAACAAGCAGTCACTAGTCCGCATATTTCTACCAGGTCTCGATTACTTCAGGCGGAGTTCATTCAGACAATAATTCACATGGTTTTGGCATATTGAAGGGTCAAACCATCGTGATATGCCCACGGTGTAGCAAAGTGTTATGGTTGTGATAAGATACTTCATCCCTATCCGCGAACGACTATGTACATGACTATAACAGGTATGTCGGCCTATGCAACCTCTCGACGACCAGTGGCGCGCCGTTGAGCCCCAAGCTCAGGGACGTCACGTGATATTTCAGGCGCGCGCTTAAGGCTGTTCAAAAGTGGCGTTTAGTTGAACCGCACCATAGGACTACATACGGACATCAATATATGGTACAGATGCGGCCGGACCTTGGATGAATATCAGACTAGAATGTGAATAATCCCGTCCGGGCATGATTCGGCATGATATGCACCATAGTCAACCAGACCTGCGGCAAAGCTCTCAGTGTCGACCGTGCCACTAGCATTATAGTACAGATCTTACTCACGTTGTACAGCACATATGACAATTCGTCGTCGTCAGGACCCCGGAGGGAGTAAAATCGGCTCCCGACAAAGCTCCCGAAGACGACGAAAATCGCCCCGCACACAGATCCAATGCCCCAGAACGAGGCTAGGAACAGTGACCATACGCTTATTGCAGTCACAGTCGCAATCCGGGAGAACTCGGGGGCATAGATGGGGAACGTCTTGCGGCCCAGGATGGCATCACCCTCAACGTCTGCAAAGTCTTGGGCTTGGATAGTGGTGCAAATCAAAGCACCGCTGATGCATACTGCCGTAGCTGATACGTTGTCTAGATCGCGCGTCGCTCCTAGACCAAGAATAGATCCCAGTTCGGGTTTGCCGAAGGTACATTCGCAGGTAAGCAACAGTTCAGAGAGGGAAGAGGTGTACGTACCCATGAGCTTGGTTGCCCCGATTTCTAACGTGGTGTAGCCCCCGATATTGCAGATGCTTTTCCCGATAAGGTGTCCGGCAAGACCAAGCTCGTCGTAGGCGAATGTAGTCAATAAGAGTCCGAGCGTCGTAAGCATGAGATCCCCGCCGTGTAGTGCCGAGCAGCCGAATGCCGCGGCGACTGTCACCCAGCGAAGCACAAAGGCCTGTCGCTCGGTGATGCGCCCTGCAGGGAGTGGGCGCCATGGCTTGTTGACAGCATCTTCAAGGCGCGTCCGGGCCTGGTTGGAGACGTTGCACATGAATTGGTGGATCCAAGTCCAGATGAGGGCGCGAAGGAGCCGGTCAAAGGAACAAAGAGGGGCGGTCGCACATGCGAAGGCCGACTAGAGCAACGATCATTGTGAGTACGGATACAATATGCAAGATCGCAAAACGCACTATGGGGAGTAGGATGGTTTTCAAGTCGGATGCCGTAAATAGCATTGCCGTTCGTGCATGGTATCCACAGTGGCGGATGAATGTCATCAGTCCCGACAGAACGTGCACTAGTTGAGAACGTCGTCGTGTGGAAGGTTGAAGAGATGGTCGAGGCTGTGAGACCGTAATGAGCCGGGAAAACATGCAGGGACAGCAATGCGCAGTTGCCCGTTTCTGTCAAACGAATTAAGGGGCAAGGAGGCAAGTGTGTTTCCAAAACGTACCTCGCGGCGTGCACTATCAGAAGACAGAATGTCGGAGGTTCCCCTTGAGGGCATACATCTACCCCAACATATCACATCCAGGTGGCCTAGCCGCCTTGCGTCATTCGAACAACTTGAAGGGCGGCAGGTCCTTGCGCTACCGGTGATAGTTGACGTTTCATGAGAGCTTGAGAAGTCCGCTTGAGGGGATCAACTTCAGGGTACGAGACATCGGAGAATCGGAGCGCTGAGAGTATGAGATGGGATCGCGAAAAGGTGTAGCAGGAAGGTAGTGGCGTATTAGCGCAGTTGGTCTGAGCTTGTGTTTAGCTTGCGTCCGGCGCTACATCTTGTAGCCCTAAACTAATGATGATCATCGCAACGGCGCTGGCGTCGTTCAATGAGTCTATGTGACAGCGGAGTATCGTGCGAGACGTGCAGTACGATTATTCATAACCATTGCTGTGGCAAGTCCCGGCCCTGAACAGATTCTCCGAGGGCGATGTAGGCGCGATATGAGTGGCTGAAATCTCCGGCCAAAGTGTTGCGCCTATCGACGGGATCAAGCTGGAGGGCAACTTGGAACTCAATGGTCAGATTAAGCGAGGTCTTCGAGGGAGGCATCGGACAACGGACCATGATTATATGCCTACATGGATACATGGAATAAGCCTGATCGAAAATGATCATGGCCACTCACAGTGAGTAAGCCCGAACCCAGATTGAACGCAAGATCGTATTGCCGCGCGCTGGCAATGTCATTCAGTTCTGGTTGCGCGCGAGGGAGACGCCACGCTGACGTAGAGGGCACTTACCACGGATTCCTTGGTGCCGTAGAAGCACAACAAGTACTAGCACGGCAATGTCGGCATCATCTGGGGCGCGTGTCCAGGGTGAGCAAGCTGTTCCATCTCTATATCTCGCGCCGGATGGTTTCAGATTTCGGCGCATCCTGCGCTCAGTGCGTGAAGGTGATCGAGCCGAACATGCCCTGCTTTAGCTAATAGAATCAGAGTCGCCTTCCCGCTCTAGTGTCATCCCTTATGGCCGCTAGTTTCCTGCACTAATTTGACTAGAGCGGGAAGGCGACTCCGACTCTATTTGTCAGTAAGTAGATATGAGTCTCCAGTATGGAGAGCAGAATGAAAGACGCGAAGTTGGCCCGAGTTGAACAATCAGTCACGGTGCATTCCGGACCGTGAACTATCCCACGGACCGGACTGTCGCGGACATTCTTCGATAGGCGGGCAAGTATAAAAGCTAGCTTCCACAATGTCTTCATGCCAGGACCTTCGCCACAGTCTTCGGCGAAGACTGTGGCGAAGTGAGGTCAAGGTCGCCTTAAGGTGTCGGAGTTCATACCTTGATGCACCTTGAAGCGCCACAAGGTGAGCTTGAAGTGGGCACGTGCTAGGCTTGCACAGCGAGCATGGGTAGTCTGGGGATCTCGGTGTACTGCGAAAGGTTGCAGTCTTGGTATTACGAGTCAACATTGTATCTGCTTTCCTCGCGAGCCTGTCGTAAAACATTGGAGATGGTCCCGGACTGAATACACTACTGAGAATTGTTCTCATTGAAGCCATGCTCCGAAAACGGACTGTAAGCCGCCGGCTCGTATGGGTGGCTCAGATGATGGTCCTGGAGTGTTACCGGGGTATGCAGAGCTTGGTGCGGGAGTACAAGAGTAGTGATGAGAGCCAGGAGGGAAGGTAGATCGTGACTGAGGTGTAGAGGGAAGGGGAGCAGTGGGTTGCAGAAGCTCAGAGGTTTGGCAGCTGCATTGTGCAAGATTTCTCGCACCGCAGGAAGCACAGCCGTAGATTGACATGGGAAAGGAGAGATGCTTCTACTCACTACCTGGTAAGTTTTTATGCCTTTCTGGACTCTGCTCTTCGACCAAAGATTGCATTGCTGCTCATCATCTACGTTACACATGCATAAGATAAATACCTAGGAAACGGATCTAAGTTATCCAGATAAAGGTTTGGTGAGCTCTAAATGACCCAAGAGAGAACATACAACATCAAGAGACATGGTTGAAGTGCGTGCAGCTGATGGGAGAAAGCAGGCTGGCGGGAACGAGGAGAGGAGAATCCGGCACGTGACCAGATGAAGCGCGTCGTACCAGTCGGCCCGACAGCGGATACTTGGAGCCGCCGAGAGTCCACACCTTGAAGCGACCTTGACTTACCTTGAGCTGACCTCAAAGCGACCTTGATGGTCGATTTTCATACTCCGCTCAAGGCAAGGTGCACATTGACGTGAAGTGACCTCACTTCGCGGCAACACTAGTCTTCGCGAACCGCAGCTGCAAATGCACCATCTGTGCTAGATACGCGTAAGTCGGTCAACATGTATGCCGTTCCTAGTGACGATGTCGAATGTTGATGACCTAGGTCAGTCACAGACCCATCAGTTTCTCCTAACTGGGCTATACAGAGGCACACATTGCATTATCTCCTGTACGTCACGCCGTTCTCGCATTGACGCGGCTCTATCTCATCATGATCCCGCAGCTTCGAAGCATGCGACTGCTTAATACAAAGACCTTAGAATTCGAGTCCATCCCAGACCCTCATGATGTGCGATATGCCATGTTTGGTCCAAAGTCGAGGGCGGCGAGAAGACGTACCAGAACGTCCTAGCGATACAGCTCGAGCAGCCCATCGAAGGAGGGAGCCTCGAGCGTTATCTTCCACAGAAGATCCGAGACGCTTGCGCTATCGCGGGGAGTCATGGATATGACTACATCTGGATCAATACTTGCCGCATCGACAAGACCAGCAGCGCCGAGCTTTCCCAGGCCATAACGTCGATGTTCGACTGGTACAGACTGGCGGATGTCTTTTACGCCTTCCTACATGTTGTCCACGATACGAGCGACTCTGCGGGACCGGGTCTCTCGCCCCAGAACTTCTTCGAGAGTTCATGGTTCGATCGCGGATGGACCCTTCAGGAGCTAATCGCACCCGATAATGTGGTCTTGCTATCGAACACGTGGGGCGTTATTGGGACCAAGTTCCAATTCGCGAAGACGCTGGAGGAGAAGCTGAAGCTAGACGCAGGGGTTCTCATGGGCACGAAACCGCTTTTCAGCGTGTCCGTTGCAGAGCGGATGTTCTGGGCCTCTGCTCGGGAGACGACGGTGGTGGAATACAAAGCTTACTGCCTCCTTGGTATCTTCGGAGTTAGCCTTACACCTCGCTACGGAGAGTTACGGCCATGCACCGAACGTTTGGCAGACTCGATACCGTGCTCATGAGCTTTAGAGCAGACGAGTAAGGAGCCAGCGGCAGACAATGTGCGTGCGGGGCGGGGCTGCGAGGTCCACGGGGGAGACGTGGTCGCCTACCGCGAACTGCTAATGCAAGGCGTCCGGATACGTGCGCTCCGTGTCATCGTGGAGTAGTCTCGCGGCTGGTCGCATTCGACGAGCTTGACGGGATCCGAGTACGTTGCAGACAGGCCGGCGAAGTCTCTCTGACAGGCGATGCGATGAGGAGCCGGCTACTCCTTCGACGACGAGATTCTCCGCAGTGATGGTGCCATGTGGTAGGCGGATGTTGTGCACGCCATCGCGACGGCTCGTGTGGGAACACTCCCGGGCGACTTGTTGAGACTTCCCAATGCAGAGACTGCCGAGAAGTAGCGAAGCGAAGCAGCGAAAAGGCTCACCTACATAGGCTTAGCAATATCCCTCAGTGAGCGCAGCCCAGGTTGGAGTCGAGGTCGTTCATCTCAATGGATTCATGCAGGAGCTGAGCGACCAACGAGGCCAAATACCGTGAGTGGGAGCTGATGGACTAAAATTATTTCACGAGTGCTTAAGGGCCTGTTCGGCAAAGAGTTGGAGTTAGAGTTACCGGCATTTCATGCCCAAATATAGTAATAATATCTCGGTTTTCAATCTCGAGAAAACTCGAGTTACTCGGGCGAGTGCATGCGTTCGGATGCCTCCCAGTAACTCCGGGCGGTTGTTATCAGCTCAGGTCATAAATTATCTCGCTTGATTCTCTCTCTATAGAGTATTGGGATGGCTACCATGACCGGCGTAGATTGTGATCGGACATCCGAGACCATCCTACTTGAGGGATTAGGGCAGGCTACTACCAAGGCCCGCCCAGTCAAAACAATGACAGTTACTGCTATAATAGCCTGTCTTCGGCGCTCTATTTGAGCCTGATGGATAGCTTGGTGAATTTAGACAGCTGCTCTTGTGTGGACCATGGTGAAGCAGGGATGAAGCAGAGCCCGTCTGATAAGCCATAGCTACATCACAGAATTCCTTTTGAAATCGGCCCCATGGCCACGGAGCTAATAATCGACGCCTTAGTAATCAACTTTCAAGCCCATGATCAGATAATGGCAAACGCCAAAATAACTGGTTTCGTGGTTACTGCATCGCGAGGCCTGGGCAATGTCAGCCCAATATTGTCCCTCTGGCGATGTCATCGCATCGTCTGTCCCAGCCTGTGCTCACTGTGCAATGCTATCACCCACTTCCAAGCGCCGTCAACACCCAGATGCACCGCGCGTCTGCGTCGGTACTGGTACTATACAGCACTAGGTCGGAGTGCAAAATATCACCGAAGTCTTGTACACATGCTCGAGGCCGCGGTCGCTACAATTACTCAGTATGTATCCCTTCAATATTCGACGTTGCTCATTGACCCTCCCCGTCCACGAAACGTCTCTAGGTGCGTCCCTTTCTATCTTGCATGCTGTTATGACCACCTGAGGTAAGTCTCGCGTTCTTGAATCCTGCAATTCCTGTGAGTTTGTGCATGATTAGTAGCTCCCTCACTAGACGTCCCTGGACTAGTTTTTTTTGCCTCTGTCTCATGATCCTAACATCTAACAGTCCATAGCACAATCCTTGATCTCTTACTGTGCTTGACCTCATGCCCCGAGACGATTCCCTATCAGTGTCTTCTGCTGTCTGTGTCCTCCGTCGCTCATAGCTCTACTGTCCTCGCTTGTCTTTGACATTATGCTGGGTTTATCTGAGGTCAGTGTGCAATTCCAAGCTCTCGGCTTGTATGTAGATCCACATCTCTGGAGGTACGGTTGCGTTGTCGTAGTAAAATGTATCTACTGTGTTCTGTAGATCACTTTTGTCGTAGCATAGCTGATAATACATTTTGTGCTTGTCGTATAACCTAACATGTGCGGCAATTTGCACGCATTGCGACGTATAAATGTGAATTAATCATGGGATTATACTAGATTACCAAGCCCATCGTGATCGTCAAAAGCTTTGGAATGGCACCAATTGTTGTATTGCTCGGAAGGGACCCCAGTATTCTATTCCTTACAATGAGACAGCAACGAGATGGGAAGGGATCCGATGTGGTCGACATCCGATCACAACGATTGCACCTATCGCAAGGATTGTGTCCATTGCGAAGACATGGCGAGGTGCTTGTTCTGGATCGCGAGATCAGAAAGAATTCTGTTATGTATTGGTATACTAGATACATGTACGAGTTCAGGGCGCTTGTCTCCTCCGGACTTCACGGGTACTCCGCCCCTGTAACTCTAACTCGCACAGAAATCCTCGGAAATGCCGCCACGTGACAAAATGCCGGTGACTCGTAATTCCAACTCTTTTCCGAACAGGCCCTAAGATGAACGCTACGAGATTATCGGAAGTTTGGCGAAGAGTGTAGTGTATGCCAGGAGAAGAGCAAGCGCCGGTATCGCAGAGAGAAAAATTCGACATGGGTGGCATTCTCCGTAATTCGCGGCCCACATGAGATGCTCTTGGCCCCTTTTTGTGAACAAGAGGTCAGCTATATAGGCACAATCCATTCTCTTGTTCGCCTCCGAGGAGGACTCGTGGTGTGAACCACACTCGAAATCACCTGACATAATGCAGGGGACCAGGTTGAACTCACGGTCAACAGCACGCGCCCGCTGCCTTAGGTACCCACACAGGACAATTGGCTCGTAACAAGTCGTGGCGACTACATGAGGTTTTGTCCACCATCGCAGTGCCTTGCAATGCATGCACCGGGTCTTCGCTGTCACCTGCGTGAGGGCGTACCCGCATGACCTAGGTTTAGGACCGGTCGGCTACAATAGGCACTTATCTTGTTGCAGTGCCGGTGGACTCCATTCTTGGCAAAGAGCTAGTAATCTAGGCTCAAGGGTGAATGTAGTGACCACTCGGCACAGAACGCCAGCCTCGCAAACAGCACATCTGTCACACAGGGTCGGAGATCTTCGTGCCGGCATCTGCACTAGGCATGGCCTGCCGAATAGTTCTACTCGCACGCATCGCAGGATGCAGACCCATCCTTCAGGACTGTCTACGGTGTACCGTTGGTTGTGAGAGAATAGCGGCTACCTGCACGCCATCGGGGTGAGCTTCGGACCTACCGGCGTGTCAACAGGCAACGAGCTGCACTCACCTTGGATATGGTTCAAGCTCATCTATCACGTCACATCCCCGCAGGCTGACATGTACGGCTTTAGCTCACCCATAACCAAGATTGCTTGTACAATCTAGACGAAGTTGAGTCGGCATCTACTGATCCTGAGAACGTCCGACGCACCTAACTGGCCATCGGCAGGACATTCCCGTTGCTCACCTGGACGACAACCGAAAGTCGACAGTCATCTGCCCCTTCGCGCAGAAGTGGGCAGTGCTGACTTATGTACATCCGTCGAACAGACGATCTACTGGTGTATCAGTCCACGCATATCCTGATAGTCTATACTGATATTCGATTGAAGGCAGACGTCACGATCTTGCCATCCAATGAGCTCGCATAGCACGCGAATGACTGACGTACTGACCGGCATGCTGCGGTCTGTACCTTGCTCAGCGGCATCAGAGATACAACGAGTACGAGATTGTTATCACAAGCGGCCTGTTGGTGGACCTCGCTCGACATAGTAAGCGATCCAACCCACAGCAAGAGGCTCGCCATTGCATGTGAGTTACAATCAACTAGTCCGGAGAATCCTGGCGACGGTCAATCATCCCCCGATGACCCGCAGCCAAGAAGAAATCAAGTTCTGCAATTAAGTAGGAAGACCCTGTCATCACAACGTGTGCTAGAGAAACCTAGGGTGTAAAGCAGCAAGTGAGAACGCACCAAATGTTGAACGTACCAGCTCAGTGGAATCTGTGTTTATCCGGGATCTCATGACCTTGACAGAAACGTGAAGAGATATAAGCTAACGCACCACAAAGGGCCGCAAGGGCAAGTCATCGCCGCTCGCATCTCGGAAGTAGGGTAAGACCAGTATCAACGCGATTCCCCAGCACCTGCGGTGAAATGATGCTGGTAAAAACCCGTCTGCAGGGTGACTACAAATGACGTGTAATTCACGCAGAAAGAGCAATAATGCCAGTAAGGGGCACACCCAGTGAGTCGTCATAGACGGACAAGAATGTGCAAAGGATCTGCATCGTACCGTCATAAGTGCAGTGCAGCTGGTCGGTTTAGGAACATCGCTGAAGGTCATCGTCATCTGTCAAATCATGCGAATTCGATGATCACCTCATAGCCTGGAGGCTCTCTGGCTGTCACCTGTGATACATATCATATCATACTGGACCCGACACATGCGACGCAATGACGACGCCCGTATATAGACATGAGACTTACCTGCGTGATGCCGGCTGTGAAGGAGAGCCTGTCGTTTGGGCTGTGGCGGAGTGCGTCGATGAGCATTGGACCGGTGATGACGAGTAGCCAGCCGTCTAGCACGGCGATTCTGAAGCTCGTCCGGTAGAACTATGTCTGGAACTCCTGGCCATTGACTGAATCATCAGAGCTAGCGTCGGGCCCGCACCCTCTTGTATCCCTCACGTAGCATGCCCTCCGTGCCACGGACATAACAGATGGCGCCGAGACGAGAAAGGATCAGCGCAGGGGGTCCGATGGTGGGTATCGAAGGCAACTCAAGAGCCAAGTCTCTGAAAATGCAATCTCCAAGGTACAGATGAAGACGCATATAACGCAGGGGATTGGACCCACTCGCGACGAGGAAGACGATGGTGAAGGTAGCGAAGAGCTGCCACGAATCCAAGCTCGGTCCCATAGCACGTCGCATCAAGCCGACACGTCCATGGGCGCGTGCAGCGGGTGGGCACGAGGAGAGGCAGGGGAACTAAGGAGCGGGGCAAGGTTCTAGGGGAAAAAAGGGAGACGACGATGGCGGAGAGGCGAGAACACAAACTCAGTGGCGTGCTGGAGGACACTCGGAACGAATTGAGGAAACATCATATTTACTCGCGCGATGGATACTCGGCCGAGGTCCCCGAGGTGACAGGGCGAACGCGATCGTCGAGGAAGGAGCCGAGGCGGGGCGTGGGTGTCTTCTCGTGTCGCAGGCGGTCGATGGGAGCCATGTTTCCCGGAGAAACGTTTCTCGCGAACGTTATGAGTGCACTAACGTCGGAGCCTTTGGCACAAATGGTTGTACAGAGAAGTAACTCGCTGAGACAAGAATAACGGGCGGTCAGAGGTTCTCCATTCCCCGAGGGAAGCTTCACTGCAGCGAATTACAGACCAAGCTCTGAACACGCAGCTTTCACATTATCCGCCATCTCTCAGAACTCCATCGCGCCCTAGTCCTCCAAGATGTCATACTTCCACCATTCCTTGGCAGCGTTGTCCGAGAGCAGCGCTAGATCCGATGCGCTCAGGCTCCAAGTGGTGACTGTCCTGGAAGTGATTGCAGAAGGCGATCTTGGTCCCGAACGCAGATACGCCGTGTAGTATGTGTATCTCCATATCGGGAGTGATGTCTCGGAATTACCGGCGCAGTTGGTTGTCAGCCTCAGACGACTGGCCCTACCGGCAACCCCCAACAGACCCAACCTGGAACGCCGGCGACGACGCAGCCCCCAGACCCCTCACGCTTTGAGGCCAAGGGGGAAACCAGCGGGTGGTTTGACCTCGACTATGAGGACAGGGGTCGCACATACGTGAATGAGAAGGACAACGAAGTCGACCCTCTTGCATGCTGTGACCGCGGGAAGCTGAGGGGCGACTTCGAACATGGTGTCGACAGGGAATAGAGTATTGAGCAGACGGTTCCAAGATCCGCAGAAGGGCTTCTCCGAGACTCCGAAGTCGAACTCGACGCTCCAGCGATGAAGAAGGGCACAACAATCTCCGGCCGCCATAACATCGAAAACTATTCGAGATAGTTAGTGGTCCCATATTCGAACTCCGTCGATGGCGCTAGCGCACATCGCCATGATCAGCACGACTATCGACTCGACATCGTCTTCGCCGTCGACCGTCGGATCTCACTCTCAACGTTAATGGACATCTCTACGCTGCATACACAAGCACCACGCGAACTTGGCCCAGTTGGATACCCAATTATTGCAACACCAACAGCGTTCGCGGGAGTACCACATGCAAGGAAGCTTTAGATGCGACTGCGCGTCCCGCATACATCCGGTCCTGGTTAGTACCCAGCGCGGCATCCAGAAACCTTATTCGACTAACGAAACACACACGGTTCCGCAGAGGGTAACATCTACCTTCTCACGGCATGCACGCCAGCGGCGTGATGTCTCATAAGGACAGCAAAGTCGACAGCATACATGGGCAAGGAATGGTCTGTCAAGCGGCCGGGTTCCCGGAAACTCGTCCCACAACACTCAGAGACCGCACTGGACGAGGTCAACGCAGCCGTGGGTCATGCACGCTGCTTGTGAACTAGTGACGCTCTGAGCCAAGACGACCCGACGTAGAAGCTGCCATGCTCAACACCAAGGCTATCGCCTGTGCGGACGTCATCGTGCTCAAGAGGGCTCTCGGAGAACATGTTGCAATACAGTAGGAAGTAGAAGCGCCTGAAGGGAGTGTGGCTCAGGTACGTTGTGGATTCAACGAGACTGTTGGGCCATGTGGATCGCAGCAACAACAGCTCTACGGCGTTGAAACTGCAGAACGAAGGTGATGGTAGTTCAAGTTGATATCGGAAGTGTCGAGTCTTGGGTCATTCCGGACTTTTGGTTCATTGGCCGGCAGAAGCGGAAGCGGAAGCCGCCGAACAAGGCCTGCCATCTCGTATTGTAAGTATTGATCCAGTCTGGCGTTGCTTGCGATGCTGACGGTCTTTCCATAAGTAGCCGCTGAACCTGTTGAGAGTATGACTTTTCCCGCACGAGTAGTTGAGGATAAAGCGGAAGCTTCTGGCTTTGAGAAGTGGCCGCATTGAGACGACACACCAAGCAGTATATCTCCCAGTTCTTGTTCCATCTTCAGGACTGATCGGGTCCGCAGCTGCAACCCCGCTTACGTTCTCTCCTCGACTCATTTCTGCATAAACCCTTTGCGACTACACATGCTAATCGTAGGTACATTTCGACTTTCATAAACCTCGGCAATCACGTGCACTGTAGGTAACCCCTGCGGGTCGGCGCGTTGGCGTGCGTCACGCAGCCTGATCATATGCCAATGAGTGCTGACAATTGATCGAAATTCATACACACTTGCCGCAATATACCGAGGCGCGTCCGTTGTATTCGTAGACGACGCGGTGTGGTCCCGGAGGCGCGGGCCTATCTACACCGAAGACCTTACCCTGTAAGACAGGATACTCCTCATAGGGGCCTTGACAAGCCGGAAAAACGAAACCCTGGAGTTTTCCCAGTAAGCCTCGTCCCCTAAACCCTGACACAGCTTCAACACGAACCTCATGGTTGTAGAAACGCATGGGGTAACCCCTGCGGCGATTTCCTGTCTGTCAGGGGCTCGCTCGACAAGTGCTCTGTGATAATAGTCTCGTACCCGTTGTCGTTACGCATGCCGATCCCCTTGTACCATGCATATCCAACGTCCTCGTTGGACAACAAGGTACCTATTTGGAAAACGTGAGCACCGCGCTCGCGTTGTTCCAACAACCGATACATCTACCTTGGCAATCGCAGGCAATCTTAGGTGCGTCGGGGTTCTCAGTGGCATTCGTTGGGTTGGTGCCGTTAGGGAGTGATGCGAGCGATGCCGATACAACCCAAACGGTTGAGAGCAACGCGAATACAGGCAAGAATTTCATATCGAAGAGCTAGACCTGGGGTTTGCGGGAGCAAGAGGCGAGGTAGAATGCAACGAGTCTGTGTCGCTGCTTGGTTGGCATTGCCTGCTGTTGCAGAGGTTCATATGGGACTCTGCGCGTCTCGTAGTTCGCATACCGGTACGTTCACTCCATAGTATGTTTTTCCACATACTGCTTCATATGTTCATTGCAACAGAAGGCTCGCCTCGATCCGCCGCTAGACCCGAACGATGCCCCCGTTGAAGACAGGCAAGCAGGAGGAGGAGGCTTTCATGCGACACTGTTTAGTGGCGCTGACAGCTTCTTGATTAACCTGTCGAGGTGGGGCTCTTTCAACCGAAATATATATTTTCTCATGTCGTATGACTCTCCTGTCTCGTAATGCGTGCATAACCTAACCCCGAGTAGACCCCGATTTACTCCCCACTGACGTGCAAGGCAGAGCCTTGTGTTCATCGTGCCGCCCAGTCAAAACGAGACCATTGGCATTGGTAGGTACAAGCCCCGTTGTGGGTCATCGGCATTGCTGAGAATATAGCATCCTGGGTCAACGTCCGTGAGTACCGCACACTCAGGAGTGTGCGCTTAGATTGGGGCGGAACACGAGGGAAAAGGCCTGAGGGTTGCCCAGGTTTGTGTTCAACATACCTCGTAACGGTCATTGTACTGCTAAGGTTCGTCGATGAGATGCCTTACTTCAGCATCAGAAAGTGCATAGAGAACACGACAGACTCACCACGCACCGTCATCCAGAGTATCCTCGGTCGCAAATTCGATGTCCAAGTCTAAGCACCGGGTATCTGCGCATATCCGGGACGGTTAGCGGGGTTGGGGCCATGTCCTGGCTCATTGCGGACCTCCAAACTGAACACCAGTATAGTCGCATTCACTGAGCTGCCTGCGTGTAAAGGGAGCAGAGACGTGAGACAAGGAAGTACTCGCGAACACGAGGAGGTTGCGGGATTAAAGCGCCAAACCAGGCCTATCTTGCCGTCTTATTCGTTTCCTCACCACAGACGTAATTCGACTTCAGATCGCGCCCATCGTCCAGGGTGGATTGAGGACAGGATTCATGCGCATGGCCTCGCTGCGTGCACGCAAGGGCGCAGCAATTGCTAGCTTCCTGGTCTTGCGCAGGTCGCAACAATGCCACTCCCCCAAGGACCGCACCAATGGAGGTACATACATCCACCACTTTCGAATCAGCTTTGGAACCTGGACACCCGTTCGATCTAGATATTCAGTCACCTTGTAGAGGGTCCAGGCCCGATATCATACAGGTTGGATCCCGCTCATGCTGCCCTTCGGCCTTGCCGACGTCTTATCGTCCACGCTTGACAGTCTTGACTACTGATCGTTCTACCACACCGTCCGCATCACCGCGCGCGAGAACATTCGCGACTTCCTCATCGGCAAGATCTACACGGCTAGACACGTCCATGCTTGATACTAGGATTCATGCCAAAGTAATGTAGTTCATGTAATGCGTGTGGCTGCACAAGGATCACATAATCGGCAGACGCAGCAGCTGTTTGGGACAGCCACCATCGCATCGTGTGCATGTCTGCTTGCGTCTGGCTGTGTCGTCATGTACATTACGTGTCAGCGACATTTTCTGTTGATATGCACACGACTCGTAAGTTATCCCAAGGACCGGCCATTGGCCACCCATGTCGAATGTTACTTCTGGTGACGCTGGAGCTCTCTTGCACTAGTTCTGTCTCTTCGCCAAATTTAAGATCACGCACTCGTGAAGCAATTTTAGTCCGTCAGCTCCTACCTACGGAACTTCAATGCCTCGCCGCCGATAGCTCAACCGAGACTCATGGTAGTAAGTGTAGAAGGCGATCTTGGTCCCGAACGCAAATACACCGTGTAGTGTGGGCATCTTCAGACCGGGAGCGAGATCTGGGAACCACCGGCGCAGTTGGTTGTCAGCCTCCTCACGTTTCGGGGCCAAGGGAAAATTGGCGTGTGGCCCGTTTGGCCTCGACTACGAAGACAGGGGTCGCACGCACGTGAATAAATGAGAAGGACAACAAAGTCGACTGCCTCGCATGCCGTGATTGCGGGAAGTTGAGGGACACATTCGAACGTGATGTCGACAGAGAATAGGGTATTGAGCAGCAGTTCCAAGTTCTGCAGAAGAGCTTATCCGTAGTGGTACTCGATGCTCCAGCGATGAAGAAGGAACGCACAATGATCTCGGGCCAAAGAGCATCTTGTCTGGGCGTCATAGCGTCGAAGACTGTACGAGATAGTTCAGTGGGAGCAAACGGCAGCGACTTTGAGTAGCGTTGACCTCACCTTTGTCGATCGAACGTCTCCGAATGGCGGTGGTCCCGTATATAAACTCCGCTAGTAAGCGCTAGCGCATACTGCGTGATTGGCCGCGTGCCTCGTTTGCTGCGACTGCACGTCCCGCATCGTGCCATTTAAGTACCTCATTCCATTTACATGAAATGCACTTGGTTCCGCAGAGGGTAGCATCTACCTTATTACGACATGCACACCAGGCGGCTGTACCATAACGTCTCCCAAGGACAGTAAAGGTGGAAGCATACACGGGCAAGGAATGGGCTGTCAAGTGATGGGCTTTCGGAAGGTCGTCCTACAACACTTAAAGACCACACTGGACGAGGTCAACGCTGCCCAAGCATACGTGAGTGTCAGTTTAACCGCTCTATAGTAGGGTAGTCAAGGTACGTTGCGGGATCAATGGCGCCATTGGTAGCTCTGCGGGTCGCAGCAACAACAGCCCTTCGGCACCCCGAGAGTTAAAAAATGTAGAACGAAGGTGATGGTAGTTCAAGTCGACATTCCAAGGGCCAAGTCTTGGGTCATATCTGACTTCTATTTCATTGACCGGCAGAAGCGTAAGCGGGAGCCACCGAACAAGGCCTGTCATATTTTATTCTAAGCATTCACCTAGCCTGGCGTTGCTTGCGATGACGACAGTCTCTCCATAAGTAGTTGCTGGACCTATTGAGAGGTTCCCTTGCCCCACACGAGCAATTGAGGATAAATCGGAAGCTTCTGGCTTTTAGAAGTGGTCGCATTGGGGCTCCGACAACAAGCAGTATATTTTCCTGTTCTTGTTCCATCATCAGATCTGATTGTGGCCGCCTTCGCAGCCCCCCTCATGTTCTCTCCCTGATACCCGTTCTGCGATGCGACACATGCGTCTCCAGCAGTTCTGCAAATGTTCGTTCTCGAACTCATTCCTGCATAGACTCTTTCCGACTACACATAGGCTCATCTCAAGTACGTCTCGACTCCCATGGACCTGGGCAATCACGTGCACTGTAGGAATCCATTAGGGGTCGGCGCGTTAGTGTGCGTCACGCAGCCTGTTCAAATTCCAGTAAGTGCTGTTACTGTTCTGAGAAGTATGCACACTTGCCGCAAACTTCGCCGATGAACGTCTGGAAGATGATGCGGTCCGGTCCCGGAGGCGTCGTACCAGTATAGACCTTCCCCTTTAAGACAGGATACTCCTCATAGGGGCCAGGACAATCCGGAAAAACGAAACCCTGGAGTTTATCTAGTAAGCCTCGCCCGCTAAACCCTGACATAGCTTAATACGAACCTCATAGTTGTTGAACGTGTGGGGGTAGCCCCTGCGGTGATTCTCGTCTGTCAGCGACTCACTCTACAAGTGCTGTGTGATAGTAGTCTCGTACCCGCCGCCACCAAGGTAGAAGCCCTGGTCGAGTGCGTTTCTAACGTCGGAGACAGACAACAAGTTACCTATTCAATGGAAAACCTGAGTACCACAATTGTGCCATTCCAATAATTGATGTATTTACCTTGGCAGTTGCAGCCCATTATAAGTCGGTCCAGGCTCTGGGTGGTATTCGCTGTGTGGGTGCGGTCAGGGAGCGATGCGGGCGATGCCGACACAACCCAGACGGTTGAGAGCAGCGCGAACACAGGCAAGAGTTTCATATCTGAGAGCTAGATCTGAGGTTCGCTGGAGCAAGAGACGAGGCGAAATGCAGCGAGTCTGAGTCGCTGCTCCATTGGCCTGCTGTTGCAGAGGTTCATATAGGACTCTGCGCGTCTCGTAATTCGCATGCCGGTATGTTCATTGACCTGCTGACCCCTTCCGACATTACTGCAGCCCGTCGTCTCTCGACGACTGAGCCCAGGAAGGAGGTTCATGACCATATTTTAATCCACGTGACTTTCCGTATACAGCTTCACATCTGCATTGTGACAGACAGCTCGCTTCGAACCGCCGCTGGACCCGAAGGATGCCCCCGTCAAAGACAGGCAAGCACAAAGAGGAAGCTTCCATACGATATTGTTTGGTAGCGCTGACTAGATCATCGCCCGCCTCTCAAGCAACCTGTCAAGGTGCCAGTGGCCTGGGATCTTTCAACCGATGTTGAGATTTTTCATGTCGTATGATTCTCTTGTCTCGTCCCATCGATTCACTCCCCAATGACGTGACAGGCAGAGCCTTCTGTTCATTGTGCCGTCCAGACATCACGAGACCATTGGCATTCGTAGACACGAACCCGTTGTAGGTCATTCATAAGTCTGGCATCCTGGGTCAATGTCCGTGAGTACCGCATACTTGGGAGGGTGCGCTCAGAATGGGCCGGAACACGGAGGAAAGGGGAGGCCCCGGAGGTCGCCCGCGTATGTCTTCAACATACCTCGTAGTTATTGTACTGCTGAGGTTCGTCGCTGAGATGCCTTACTTCAGCATCAGAAAGAGCATAGAGAAGCTGACACATTCACCACCACCACAGACTCAATTCGACTTCAGGTCGCGCCCATCGTCCAGGGTGGACTGAGGATAGCATTCATGCGCATGGCCTCGTTGCCTGCACGTGAGGGCGCAGCAATTGCTTGCTTCGTAGTGTTGTGCAGGTCGCACCAATGCCACTCCTCCGAGGACCGCACCAGAGCTACCTATATTCACCAGTATCGAATCAGTTTGGAACTCTGGACGCCCGTCCGATCCGGATATTCACCTTGTAGAGGGTCCAGGCCGAATAGCAAAAACTTGTCGGTACTGCGCATCGCTGACTTTCACGGAGATCCTTGCATGTCACGACCGCGAAGAGAGTACTAAAACTACAGATAATGCCAGAAGTATTTACTTGCGAAAGAACAACGGATATGCGAGTAGTATGTATGCGTCCCATATGCTCCGGATCCCCCCTCCCCGCTCTGCAATAAATACGACGTGCCACCCAGGACAAGCTCGCCGAGATCAAGGAAGCGCACGTTCCTTACCCTTCTGCGGCGGGCTCGATAGCTTGAGCTCAGGCGAGCTCGCCATCGCAGCGGAGGTGAAAGATGGTAATCGACGGGTGCCGTTGAGCGCTACCGGCGATAGACGGGTCGACGCTTGTGTTGGAGTGCTGGGTAGCGAGCCATTCTGGTGTCGTGACGGGGAGCGTGGCGAAGGTGAGGAGCTGCCTTCGCCGGCAGAGGCTTCTGTGAGGAGGAACTCGACCCAGAGCCGGGAAAAAGACTATTTCCGGGTCAGCGAACCGATGGGTGGAGGAAGCAAAAAGTAAGCGAACCTCCGTCTCGTCCGTCTTCTGAAGCTCGGCAGGCTTGGCAGAGGGGGAAGATGTGCCGGACCTGCCCCACAGAGAACCCCCTAACGAAGGCTGCAATGCGCCGCTGCGCTGAAGGCCGGCCTTTTCTCGCTCGTCTTCGGTCCATTGCAGGATTGTTGAGAGCAAGGAGAGCATTTCGAAGCGTTTCGGATCCGCCCGAGGTGTAGTGAGGAAGGACAGCAGTACATTCGTGACCAAACGCCTGTCAACGTTGGTATCAGAAGACGAGCGTCGTAGCCGACGCAGCGCCTCCATGAGGTGCTCGTTCATGATGACAGCTGTGCGATGCGTGAAATGTGAATAGGGGTTTACCATAAAGTTGGGTCTACGACGTACTTTCTTGTCGTAGCTTGCCAACAAGAACACTCTTCTCCTTCACTTCTTTCTCCAACTCCTGCACACGCGAGTTGCTGGTAGAGTTCTCCTCGAGTTGCAGCTCTGCGTTCAGCGCACGACTTTTGAACTCTGCAAGCGATTGTGTGACCTGTAGTAGCTGACGCTCGTACTCCTTGACCGCTTGCTTGAGGTCGTGCTCCTTGGCTGGTACAATCTGAGTTGCGTGCGGGAGAGCATGATCGAATTCCACGTACAAGCCTGAAAGTCCTCCAGCACCGACTGCAGGTTCGCGCTCTTCTCCCGCTCAATTTCCAGAGCCGTCTCTGCGCGCTGTCTTGCCTCCCGCTCAACCTCCACATCCCTCCTCAGCGAGTCTGCAGATGTCCGGGCCTCATCCGCCGAGACGTGCTCCTGGAGTGCTTTCTGTTCCCACTCGTCTCGCTCTATTCGACACTGCTCCAGCTCCGCCTGCAGTTCCCTGAGCTCCCGTTCGCGTAAGAATGTCTCCTGCGAGCTGTCGTGCAGCGCCCGACTACGCATGGTCTCGAGCTCCCTGGACGCCCGCTCGGCCTCCTCATTAGCTGCGATTAACTCAGACTTCAGGGTGTCGATTGTGGCGGCGAAGTCCTCATTCTGCGCTGTCAGCTGCTGCACAAGCTGCTCCTGACGGTCGAGTTCTTCCTATGCATCCGCTGATGAGGACATCCGTCACGAGCTAGGAGAGACGCAGGTACGTACGGCGTCCTGCTTGAGCTTGTTCCCAAGCGTCGTCCGCATAGTTGTGAGCTTCGCGAGCAGGTTACGGTACTGTGTCGCAAGAGCATCCTTCTCCTCTCTTGTCCGTTGCAGCTCCTGCTCAAGTCGTTGGACTGGATCCAAGTCCTCGGAGTCACCTGCCTGCTGCGTCTGCGACGCGTCCCCGTCGGTCTTGAGCCCATTCAGTGGGGGTGGCGAACCAAGTATACGCTCACGGTCGAGAGACTTGCGCGACGCGGTGCCATCATTGCTGGCAACGTCGGATAGCCGCGGTGAGGAGGACATGGAGAGGGTACGAGAGGCGTTTGTGCCTGATTTTAGCGAGGAATGCCGCTGCCAGCTGGATTCCGTTATCAGTTAACCCCCTTATTGGCGAGAGATAACCCTAAATCGGTAATCTCTGCTCTCATGGCGCAGTGCCCTTCAATTATGTAATACTGGAATCTCGATGGCCGATCCTTTTACGATCACCTGGGTGAAACTTTGCCGAATACGGGTCATCCGCGTACATTGCACGGTGGGTAAGTACATAGGGCACGCATGAGAGGCCAGGCGTGGTAAATCACCTGTTATCATGTCCAACAGCGTATGTTCTCCGGCGACATGGCAAAGAAAACACCACGTTTCCCCGTTTTGCGGAACCTGCGGACGGCCTGGACCCGCGTCCGGCGGACATCAACCATCAGCGTCAAACGGCACACCATGGTGAGCAAACGCCGGCGGGACAATCGCTCCTTGCACGGTGTATGTTCTGAGCTGTACTCTACTTCACGACCCCTGGCACGACTGTACGACTCTTGTGAGCAGCACGTCTGCGTCCGCCATCACCCAGTGCTGATCACACTTTGCAGTAGACAATAGCCATCACGCGGTCTCGGATTAGTCCCGACGCAAGATCATTCCCCGCACTATGGGTCGAGGTACGCCGTCACAGCATACGAATGAGGTTTCACGCTGATCCCATTTGCCCCGCACTTGTGCATCCAGGAATCGGTGACCACCCAGCTAACCCCAATGACCTCACCACGATCCACGCTGGTCCTGAAGGACAGGATCCTACGAAACACAAGCGGAAGCAGACGCTGTTGAGCTTGCTGGACGCACTCGCCGAGTTGAGCAAGGATGAGGATCTGAATGGCATGGGTACGTCTTTTCCAAGGGAACCTCGTCATTTCTTCATTTGGACTGCGATCCTTGTGCGCCAAGCGTGACGTGCCCTGGCTTCCATCGTCCCTTTGCCTTCTCTTCGTACCTTGGCTTGCTCTCCGCGAATTGGACGACTGTCTACTTGGCACAGAGATATGTTGCGATGATTTAGGCCATCGGTCAGAGAACGTCCCTGGGCCAAGATGGATCCCCCAACCCTTCCGGCGTTGCTCACGGGATCTAGTGCGGTCGATTGCCGCCTTGCTGAATCCGTGGCAGACCAATAGCGCGTCTGGGGTGTATGTGCATTTAGCGCGCATTTGAGCGTGTCGTGGAGGGCATGTGAAATGCATGTCAATAGGGTATATTGCCAGAGCCCGGGCCAAGAAACAGAGGCTCGAAATGTAGGTGAGATCGCCGGAGGTCGTACTCCACTTCCCGAGCGAGTGCGCAAGAGGTCCTCGCCCGCACGATTGTTGGTTGTTCATTGGCTGGTGCATATGATCATTGCCACTCCAGGAAGTTGTATATTGCGCGACACGAGGATAGCCTAGGTACTTCCTCCCTGGGCTTTCACAGATATACCCCAATGGCAACCTCGTACTATCCCGGCAAGAGATGTTACATACTGGACGGGCTTCGTAGGGGTGTGACCGCACTCAGGATTCGAAGCACCGGTCACACGATCGCCCGGAGGCTCGGATTCTGTATGAGGGAGGGCAGAGCGACCTGGCCAAGAGGAGACGTCCGCCGTGCCATTCTGTTGATCGATCGTCAATATCACGCTGTCCAATTTTAAACTTGGACGACGGAGTCGCGGACACAGCTCGAAGCCGCTCTCCTTATCTAACAAGCTTCTGTCCCCACGCGTTCTAAGTGGCTAATCGACACTTCACCCACTTCCAGGCACGCTGCAGCAACCTAGCTTCGAAGACGATCGCGATGTCCGTAAGTATTGCCGAGCCTCATGCTCTGGGAGCTTCTTTCACAATCGCGTGTCATACAGCGACTGTCGACGAGCACCTACAAAAGGTCGGCGCGGAGGCGTTCAATAAGTTCCAGAGACGAGTTATGAACCTCGACAAGGAGGTAAGTCCATCTCGTCCCGCCTTTCAGAACGTCTTAAACCGAGTCGCCACTCAGCTGCGAAACTTCGCGAACGCCGCCCGCCAACTCGGCAGCTCCGTCGGTATCCTCTCGTCCTCCTACCACCTCCGTGGCCGCCTCGCCCAGATCCTCTACCTGTTCCGCGAAAACGCCGCGGACCTCTTCCCCCGCAAGATCTCACATCAGACACGAGAGTCGCTCACCAACCCACAACTGGCGCAGTACCGCAAGAGCAAGCGGCACAGGGCGCCGCCACACGTCCACAACCCGATCGTGATGGAGAAGCTGGACCCGGAGGACTTTCCCGAGCAGCTGCAGATGTTCGCGCAAGATGTGACGACGTTCCTGGACTGCTTGAACGAGTTTCCGGAGTTCACGGACGAGGCTGTCAATGCGGCGGTCTTGTCATTAGAGGGAGATTTGAAAGTGCGCATGCCCGTTCGCTTCTATGGTGGAACGCAGGGACTGATGCTTAGCGTGTAGTACTGGGCTTCGTCGTTGAAGCAGTACGAGAAGGAGTTCCGGTTCCCGGCGGTGCAGCGCTACCTGCACGACCTGAGCGGCGAGATGGGCGAGCATATAGACAACATCACCACGTCGCTGTCGGTGTTCATAGAGATAGGTCCGTCTTCACAACGATATGGATCGTCGTTGCTACAACCAGTAACCTCAGTCTGATTGAAACAGGTGTCCCCACGATTCGCTTTGCGCAGAAGCACGCCAGCCAAAACCTCCTCAACCTCAGTACAGTGGCGACCTTCTTCTCGGCTGTCACAGCTACGACAATGCAATTCTCGTTCAACATGACTACTACCCCGCTGCAGAACGCCGTGAACTCGTTCTGGTTCACTTCTCTGGTATTCAGTATTGGGGCTGCGGTGAACAGTCTGCTTGGTGTCACATGGAAGCAGGCGATGTAGTACGTACTCCAGTGGGCCTAGCAATGATCCCCGCATAGCCCTGACCCCCTTCGCAGTCGTTCACCAGGGCACCGAGTCCCGTGGTGGGTGCTCATCTGGATCAAGCGTTCTCCGCTCGCCTTCCTCGTCCTCTCCGTCGCTTGCTTCTCAATCGGGCTCGTTCTCTTTGCCTACGCCTCTCAACAGCACCAAATCACCTGCACGCTCACCACCGTCTTCTCCGCATGCAGCATCATAGGCCTAACCGCTGTCTCTGCGTGGTTCGCCTCTGAGCGCTGGACGTTCTCCCGCCACAACGGCACTAAGTGGCTCGCCGACGTTCTCTCCGAGACCAAGGTCCGCGTCAAGTCCACGCGCGGTGCTCAGTGGCTCATCTACGAGCCCCGCGAGGCGTTCCGCATCGCGAGCCGCTGGGTCGCGGAGCGCTTCCGCCAGGTCGGCGAGGGTGTGTCCGAGCTGAGCGCGAGGACGCTCTTGAGGTTGAACCTGAACGGGGACAGCGACGACGAGAAGTACGATGCGGAGCGCGCGGTCACCCCAGGGACGACTGTGGAGTGCGCGAGCCCCGAGCCGATGTCCCCGACCTTCAGGCGTGCGGGGTCGGACGCGGGCCCGCTGCTGCCCATCGCTGAGATACGCTCGCCGACTGCGACATCGGTCGATGGCGGGGATGGCGGGGATGGCGCGAGCATCATGAGCGACTCTCCTGGGCCGTCTACAGCTGCCCCAGGGCGCGGTCGCTTCGCGAACGCCGTCCGGGCTGTGATCAAGATGCGGGTGGCGTCGTCGGCGTTCCCAGTCGAGGGCAGAAACCCGAGGCGGCAGCGTACTATGTCGTCGGACGGGAACGGGCGCGACGCGGAGCCTGTTGGGGTGCTGAAGAACTCGCGTGTCGGGACGCTGATGCCGAAGTTGAGGAGCCTGCAGACGACGCAAAGCTTCGAGGCGCATTCGGCGCTGGTTAGACACCTGCAGTTCTCGCCCAACGGCAAGTTCTTGGCAACGTCGAGGTACGGCTCTCACCAACTGCGTTGTGTGGGCTCCGGATGCTGACAGGAGCGCGCGCATATAGTTGGGATCGAACATCGGTCATATTCAAAGTCGGCGTAAGTATCTATGCTGATCGCGCAAGTTCCCGTCGATTCAAGCATGATTCCGATCAGGAACAATTCACCTCGCATCGTATCCTGGCCCACCCTCAAGGCTTCGTTGGACAAGTGGCGTGGTCTCCGAGCGGGAACCTCTTGCTCACCAAGCTCGGTCGCGGTGTGAAGGTGTGGACGGAGGACGGCGTGTGCAAGAAGACGATTGATCGCCGCAGGAACGTCCAGTCCATCGCATGGCTTCCAGGCGGCGAAGGTGAGTGCCCTTGGCAATCTTAGGAATCCATCCACCCCTCCGAAGATAAAGCTGAGCCTCTATAACCCCTCCTCTTCAGGTTTCTTATCAGTCGAGGGCAGCGACGTCACCAAACTTGATCTGACGGGCACGGTTCTGGCTACATACCACTTCGAGAGACTCATCATTCACGACGTAGCGGTTACCCCAGATCAGGCACGTATGGTTTGCGTTGGTACTCTAACGGCATCTATGGACGGCCTGCATCCGAGCAAGTGTCGGGCTGAGAAACAAATTATAGGTAGGTTGCATAACAGGTATGTCTTCATGATTGGTGCTGATTATATTTACGCAGTGTACAATATGGAAACGGAAAAGATTGAGAAGTGAGTTGTTCTTCAAAGCGCCAATACACTTAGCATAGAGCTGATATGGACGTCAGTCGTGTACCGGTCCTGCATGAGGTCCGTGACATAACGCTAGCCAGAAATGACCACGTTGCTCTGGTCAGCTACGAGAACAAAGTAAGTCGGGTTGCGTCGTACTCATGTCGATGCGGCTCAATTTTTCGCTCTAGGCACCACCCCAACTCTGGAAGCTCGAGCCTATCAAGAAGCATCAGCAATCGGCCAACACGGAAATACGGCTATCCTTACGGCATACGTACATGCCAAAGACGCAAGTCGATTTCGCTGGACCAAGTTACTTCGGTGGCAAGAATGACCAATTAGTACTATGCGCCGGCAAAGGTTCGTCTCTGCCCTCGCAACGCCGAAAGCACCTGCTCACAATCCCGTAGCTGGAGATATTCACATTTGGGACCGTGAATCTGGCACGCTTCTGCATCACATTCGCTCACAAACCGTCGGCGGAGACCTGACCTGCATAGCCTGGAACCACGCCTGGGACACATTCATGTTCGCGACCGGCTCGCACGACGGTGCAGTCAGGATCTGGACGTCTCCCGCCTCCAGCAACATCCCAGGTTCGGAGGCCAGCTCTATCTTCGCTACTAGTCGCGCGCCCACTAATCCAGCTAACACGCCCGGCACGACCACGCCCAACGCATACGACGCCGACTATCGTACCGACAGCCCGACCGGCCAGCTGACTAGCGAGTCCCTCGATCCTGCGACTCCGGGCACCCCAGGCATCTTGAACACGGGCTCGGGTTCTGCCGCGAACGCGTTTGGAGCCCTGCCACAAGCTCGCCCTTCCGTCGTCACTTTCAGCAGTCAAGCATTCGGTAGCAGCGAACGTTGACCGACTGACCTCTCGTTGTCTTCTTCCTCGCATATCAGCGTTTGTGAGAGCTCTCATAGATTCATGTGTCGTGGACCGTATATCTTGGATTATACCGTAACGCCTCCTCCGGTGTGTGCTGCTAAAAGCACGCCGCTTCATGTCGTAAATGCTTTGCTTTTCGCTCGGTTCAAGGAATTTGTACTAGTATCTCGCACGCACTTCACGTTACGCACGCACTCCTGCATGACCCCATTACATACGCACCGCGATACCTCATCTCCTCATACCAAATCGATCACGCCATTCATGTATCTGTAGAATTGCCATGCCCTCGATGCACGGTTGTGACCCAACCGCAGTGGCACTGCGGGAAGCGATGGCGAACTCAGATGCGACCACGTTGCAGTCACCCGGGCGTGGCGACATGTCATCTGTACAAGAAAACCTGAGCATATCAATCATTCGAGGTTTGAAAGGGGGCAAGCAGACGTCCCACTCAGTTGTAAAACACTGGAGATTGGCAGCGCCCGCTAGCCGATGTTCAGGACATGTGATAGAGACGCTCGCCGCTATATCGAGATTTGTCCGATTCCGATTATCTTGGCTGCATTATCATCTAAGCGACACGATTGCGATTGAATTTATGAGCCCGACATGGTCCTTCAGTGGTACAACGTCAAATCGTCCTTTCTGAGGTGCTTTCGGGCTGTAAGTTGGGGCAGGATAGATGGCAGGCCTATTAGGGTTACTGACATTCCGTTACGTTACTAAGTATAGCCGCATGCTGCGGGTGGGAACGTCAAACTTTATCGCCGCTTTGTGCTGCTTGTCTTGAGCTGCTGGGCGTTAGGATGGGTGTCAGATGTAGAGCTATGAGGCAGCCCAGAATATGTCCGGATGGGAGGAGGAATGTGGTAAGGCTGATATTTCTCCTTTGCTAGTCGCCTGTCACTAATTCTTCACATCTGACTTGCAGAGTGAGCTATCTGAGCGGAAGAACGGCGTGTCAGAGCCATCGTGGTAGTGGACGATCAAGATGCCTTTTTTGGAAACCGTTTCTTCCGGCTTGCGCGCTTAGGCTGTCCGCTGTCCTTGGTTGCCTCCATAGATTGTCTAATAGCATGGTCCATACCCTATTGCCTGCAAAACGAAATACACCAATCCATTTGTATGCTTTGGGGGCTTGAAGTCTTTGGTATAGTTTTTTTAAGATGTGTTTTCATCAAAGTGCGCGCACTTTCGCCAAAATCTGGACCAAACATTTTCTTCGCTGCGTACATGAGTATTGTACACACGTTGTTTTGAGGTAATCGGACCAGCGGTTAGCGAGGAGAAGCAGATACAATGAGGGACCGCCGCTATCAGCTACGCAGGTGAGATCAAGAGCAGGAGCATGATAGCCGATGTTATCTCTTGGAGATGCTCGCCATCTGGTCTATGCGAGGACCTGGCGCTTGGACGCGCGCCTCATCGCTTAGGCCAGCGCTGCCAATCTCCAAAAACACGCGCACGTCCTGCATGCCTTGAAAAGGAAAACACGTTGGGAGGAATGGCCTAGACCCTAGTTCGGGGTTCTCCGTCAGCAGGGTGGCGCCGACTCATTCGTGGTACTGGTTCTCGTTCTCAATTGCAATTGCCTAGTCTTTCGTCTGATCCATGGCACAGGCGTGATCGCTCAGCCGTTGGCCTTTCACCGGTACCTGCCTGTCGCCCCATGATCCTGCTTATGGGAGTCCCGACTATCTCGGTGCGATTCCCATGTTCGCCTTCCCTTTCAACTACCCTCATACTCAGCCTATACACTTTGGGGATTCCGCTTCTTAGAGTCAGCACGGTGAATTGATCTCCCGGTGCCCTTCGCGCAAATCCGAGGTACAATCCTACTCAGCTTCCAATCAAGCTGTCATCTCTGCGCCAGGCTCCACTCATGGGTTAAAGCATTACAAATGTCGGCCACCTGTGCCTCTCGATATCCCCAATTTATCTGCGGACCTGAAGAAACCCCATTCTCCCTGTCAATCCTCCCAGGTAACGCATTCGCTAAGCCACTACTTTGACGGAGGGGTACGGAAGTCTTAGAAGCACTTCGTATAGTGAGTACCGTTCACACTTTCTCATAAGTAAGCTGTCACTGACCATACCCGACGAAGAGGATACAGGACTTCGAGATTGTCGGAGATCATGAAGGAGTATTTGCTTCAGTGCCTACATTAGTTCCGTACTTGCGTCTTGACGTCTGCATGCTCTATCGATGCTCGAATGCTTGGAAGCACCCATCCCCTCATCATCTGCCAATCGACTACACTCAGCACAACGCAAATACGCTGTAGATTACGCTGTCACGAGAGCGGCGCTCATACACAGTCGTATATAAAGCGCATGGTCTTGACCACCTAACAGACAGCTCAGGGAAGTCATCACTTTCAACTATGTACACTCATCCTCGCATCACCGCACTTGACTCGCGCCGGCTTCCAACTCCTCCCGAGGGCTGGAAGTACACCAATCTCATAGACCCGAGCGGTACTACTCCCGACCCTACACACTACCCGGTGTTACTCTTTGGACCTTATACGTACACCGGTATGTTGGCGCATATTTCGGGGCCTGTCGTTTGCTGAACACGGCATTTTGAATATAGCTCTTAGCGATATCAACAACACCTACAGCATGTTGATAGTCGCTTGGGATATGCAGAGGAACCTCATCAAGCAGTGGCTCAAGCCCGGCGCCCGCTACGTCTGGCAGATCTCATTCAATGCTGACACCCAAACGGTCACCTTCACCGGGCAGAGCAAAAGGACGGTTACCGCTACCCTCGACGAGTTGGTTCTCGGACCCACTGTCGTCCACCTCCCAATCTCTTCCGGGCCTGTCCTCCCCTACAATCTGTCCTACGCCGGATCCAGCACTACTCAGTTCCCTGTCATCAAGAGCGGTCCCTACAGCTTCTGGCCGGTGTCATATGCGGACGGACGCAACGCCTTCTGCGTCGTCGTCGTCGACCAAGACAAGGTGATCCTGAAGCTCGTCAACTGCCCTGGCTCGCACAGCATCGACAGAGTCGTCATAAACGACACCGCCCACACCATCCAGCTCGTCGGCAAAAATGGCTCTGCGGCCATGTTCGACTACAACACCGCGCTCGCATGCTTTCACTGCTCCTACGTCTACACCAAGGACGACTTCCTTTTTCTTGCCGAGTACTTCAAGGTTCCGCTTTCTGATGCAGAGGCAAACGCCATGGCGAAGGCCATGCCGCAGATCGACTGCTCGTTGTGCTGTCGTATGGAGGGCACGAGCTTCGCCGACGACTCAGACCACTCCCACCGAGTGAAGCGTGATACGAGCACGTTTATCGTCGGCTCTTTGCTCGGCGGTGTCGCCGGGGGAATCGGAGGATTCTTCATTGGGGGACCCATGGGGGCCTTCATTGGGCTTACTGCCGGCTACACTGCCGGAGCCGCCATCGGCTTGGCCGTGCCGTCCAGCAGCGACAAAGGCCAGTACCAGCTCTCGTCTCTGGAACAGCAGTATTCGCTCGTCGGGTACGTACCATTCGCTCATAGTTATATGTGCCAATGCAACATTCTCTGACGCTATCGTACAAGATACGCCCGCTTCCCTTGCGGGCCGTTCGACAACACAGGAGTGAGAGAAAACGTCTTCGACGCACCTTTCCTCCGCTACGCTGAGCTGCCCTACTCCGGGGCCATCACGAGGCTCGGCTCCGCGTCGTCCCCGCAAGCCTACTCCCCCGCCAAGAAGGCGATCGGGGACTTCCCGCGCGACCCGCGCTACAAGGCGATGAGACTGCAGGACGGCACCCAAGTGACCAAGTACATCTTCGTCATCGTCCAGACGGACGAGACTGTCAACGGCCTCCCCGGCTACCAGATGCGCATCAACCCCGAGGACTTCTATCCAGACACGTGGCCCGCGACCCAGCGCGTGAACCACAGCCAGCTATCGGAAGGGTACCGCTTCTGGGCCCTGGTCGGCCACCCACACATGCAGGTGTACGCGGCGGGGAGCCTGTACGTCGATATCACGAACAAGAAGCTGCTCGGGATCGACACGCGCACGGGCCATTACTTCGGGTCGTTCGAGGGCCAGGATCAGGCGGTGAACGACGCGACGTTCGGATTCCTCAAGAGCTTGGGCTACGACACGTCAGTCATGCATAACTATGTGGATATTTTAGGATACTTCGGGGAGAATCCAATAGTAGGATGAATCACTTGGATCTTCCGCTCCCAATTGAATGTGTAAGTGGTGTTTCACGCCAGGAGGTCGTCTTTGACCTGCTGGGATGCGATTGCTGACCATTCGTACATTCAAACGTCGTCCAGGAATACGCACGCAGGATGTCCATTGAAGTCCAAGTTATCATGAATGTCCACTTCGAGTTCATTGCTCCAAATAAGTGTGTTCTGTCTAGAAACAGGAATAAGACGCTCTCTCTCCCTCTCCAGCGTATCATGTACACGTACCGCGTTGCTCGGAAATGATAACTACGTGTACAGGTCAGCATTGCGTACACACATCCCGCACGAGCGCATTATGAATCTCGGCCTCCGGCGCCGTAAGCACGAGTGAGTCCATCGCGTTCTCCGTTTTCCGTGTTCATCGCGGGGAGGTACATAGTTGGCCGGCTCGCCTAATTGAGGTCGAGCGAGAAGTGCGTTGATCAGCTCTGATCGTGACTTTCAGCAGTCAAGCGTTCGGTAGCAGCGAATTTTGACCGACTGTCCTCCCGTTCCTCGACTCTCCTTCCTTGCATATCGGCGCTTTCTAAGTTTCTCGTTAGATTCATGCCTCATTGACCGTACATCTAGGATTATACCGTAACGCCTCTCCGCCGGTATGTGCCGCTGAAAAGCAGTCCGTTTCATGTCGTAGATGCTATGTTTTCTGCTCTATTCTGGAATTTCGTACTGTTATCTCGCATGCACTTCACGTTACGTGCACACTCCTACCATGACCCCGGCACACCGCGACACCTCATCCCCATACCACATCACTCACCCATTGCATGTACCTGTACATTGTCATGGGCTTCAGTGCACGATTGTGACCCAACCGCACCGCGGGAAGCGATGGCGAACTCAGATGAGCCTGCGATAACCTCGATGACTCGATTGGAGCGACGAGGTATACGTGAGACTGAGTATATGTTCGACGCTCGACGGGATCGACGGATACAAGCTCAGTCCACGCATACTACTGGCTTTATCTCTACAACCTATAACGATGGCACACCTGCTGGGCATCACATCCACGACCAAAACCTTCCGCGTCGCAATCGTCGGCGTCGGCCTCGTGGGCGCCGAGCTCGTCAAGCAGCTGCAAGCCCTCCAGCCGAGCCCCTTCCGCATCGTCTCCCTCTCATCTTCCAAGTCCCTCCTGTACCACCCTGACGGGCTCTCCCCCTCCGAGGACTGGAAAACCGAGCTCGCGAGCTCGGGCAGAAGGCCCGACCTGCATTTCCTCCTGCGCGAGCTCGCGGCGCTCGTGAAGCCGGGGCAGGAGGCCGTTCTCGTGGACAACACCTCCGCGAATGAGGTCGCCGCACTCTACCCGTCCTTCCTCGGGCTCGGAGTGCACGTCGTCACCCCGAACAAGAAGGCGTTCTCGGCGGGGCTGGAGCTGTACGAGCAGATACTGAGTGCTAGCCTGGAGAGCGGGGCGAGGTTCCTAAACGAGGCGACGGTGGGCGCGGGGCTGCCGGTCATTTCGACGTTGAAAGATCTGGTCGCCACAGGGGATAAGGTGCGTTCTCTCTCCCTGTCGAGGACGGGAAGGCTGGTGGTGTGCACGGATGCTGAGCGGGGCGCGCAGGTCACGAAAATCGAGGGCGTGTTCTCGGGGACGATGAGCTACATCTTTAACGAGTTCTCGACGGGGAAGGAGGGGGGCCCGAGCTTCTCCTCGGTTGTGAGCGTCGCGCGCGAGAAGGGCTACACGGTGCGTCGTCCGCGTTGCACCTCCTTCCATTCCACTCATACCCTACTTGACATCGACGCTGCAGGAGCCGCACCCTGCTGACGACCTGAACGGCGCAGACGTAGCGCGCAAACTGACGATCCTCTCGCGCCTGATACCCTCACTGCGCTCTGCGCTCCCCGACGGGTACCAGTCTGTGAGCACCAAATCTCTCATCCCGCCCGCGCTCGAGGGCATCGAGTCCGGCGACGAGTTCATCCGCCGCCTGCCCGAGTTCGACGCGCACTTTGACCAGCTGCGCGCGGACGCGATCAAGGAGGGCAAGGTCCTCCGGTACGCCGGTGTCGTCGACGTGCAGAACGGTGTCATCAAGGCGGATCTCGAAAAGTGAGTTGTTGTCGCCGTCTGGGCCTTCCTTCACGTCATTCCGTGCCGTCTCATCCTCACTTTTCTCATGCACGTTTTGTTTTGCGTTGCGGTCGTCATCAGGTACCCAGCAACTCATCCGTTCGCAACGGCGCTTGGGGGATCAGACAACATCATCATGTACCACACAGAGCGGTACGGGGCCCGGCCGCTGGCGGTGCAGGGTGCGGGCGCGGGTGCGGCGGTGACCGCGATGGGTGTCATGAGCGATCTGCTGAAACTGGTGTGATGCAGCGCCGCTGCGGTGGCAGCAGGCGAGCGAACGTGTGTATACGAGAAGAGAAGCCCAAAGTAAGTTACGTGCTGTATCGTCCACAACCGTTATCGTGCCAGAACCCCCGTTGGCCGTGCGAACCGACGCGCTATGAGATGTTCATGCTGGCAGTTCTTCTGTGATTCCGTGATTCCTGCGATTCTGTGGACGCTGCGGCGAGTGTGAGGCTCGCTCGGGGGAGATGGCCAGCTTCCTTGTATGCACGAATCACGCTGCGCTGTTTCCCATCCCCGGACATGTGCTCGTCGCAGCGGGCCAGAGCTGTCTTGGCGGGCGGTGCCTGTCTCACGCGAGGCGGATGAATGGCAGGTGATGTCGATGAAGCTCGACCCCGGCGAATTCGCAAGAGTTCCGGACTGTCGACGCTGGGATGCTTATAAGATGCGGTCGAGTGCGACTCCGCGCGCCGGGAACATCGACGAACATCCTCGACCCGACGGCAAACGCCATCATAGAAAAGGCCCGCACAGGGCGTCCGGAGCGTGCCTTTCGCCCGCTGCTGCCCCACACATGTGCCATACGCCCTTGTGGCGCACTCTTGTCTTGCTATCTCTCCTTACGCTCTCGTCGGCCACCACACTCGTTCAGCTCAACTCTGGCCTCAAGACCGCCGCCGTCTCCTTCGCCAGGAGGAACTCGTCCGCGATCCGCGCGCTCCACGGAGATGCCGTCGGCGGGACGGTGGGCTTGGGCGACGTCAGCGACCTGTACGTGTTCCCGCCGCGTTCTAGACCCGTTTGATCGGCCACCTGACCGCGGCGCGCGCTCGACAGCACGTACCTCGTTGCGGCGACGGTGGGCAATTCGACCGTCTCTCTGAACATCGGTAAGCTCCGATTATGCAGTCTGATCAGCGGGCAGCACAGGCCGATGGAGGCCGATCTTGGCATACTAACGCCTGCATGGTTTAGACACCGGGTCCACCGACCTCTGGGTCGTCTCGAGCGCATGCCAGACGCAGACGTGCCAATCCTTCGCCGGAGAGCCCTATGCACTCACGCAAGCATTCCAGCAGAGTCAGCAGGGTTCTGTTGACCTCCTCTTTGGAGACTCGACGACCGGGACTCATGCGGCGGGACCGCTTGGGCGCGATGTCGTGGTCCTGGCTGGATTGACGGCGACGAACCAAACGCTCGCTGCGATCAACGACACGGACAATTCTGCGGTGGCGAACGGCGGTGCGGGGATCCTCGGTCTCGGATTTCCTTCGCAAAGGTACCGATGCTCCTCTGTCGTCTGTAGATCTTGCTCATCCCTTCTCCGATAAGCTTCATAGGGGAGAGTATTGTGGCCTCGGTAGTAAGCCTTCGCTCCTGTGAGTTGCATGCACCAAAGAGCTGACTGTATGCGTGAGTCAGTTCAAGGATATACGCGGGTCGGATACATTCGTCGAGCAATGGGTCAATTACGGTCCGATCATCCCTCGATTGATACTAGCTGGGGTCCTTGACCAACCGCTCTTCACGGTATGTCCATATATGCGTCCATATATGCGCTCACAACTCACGACACTCTTAGATCACGCTTCAGCGCGATGAGCTCGACGTCTCGGGCACCGGACAGTTAACTATTGGACAGCTGCCGTCTGGTATTGACAACTCCAGTTTGACTTGGGTGCCTGTACGTCTCTACTCGGAATCGGAGGGAGGGATGACTCCACCCTCGTTCGCCTCGAACGAGGTCTATCCTTTGTAGGCATTTGTGTTTTCGTTTGGTGTCGCGATGTGCAGCTGATGAGCATGCAGACGATGGGAAATACCGCTCGATGGCGTCTTCCTCGACGGCGTGAAGCTGGCCGACAGCGCTCAAAACGCGAGCGGCATCAGCAAGCCCAGCCTCTCCGCTCTGATCGACACCGTACGCACCCTCCCGCACTTGCTTGGCATTCTCTCTTGAGCTCACGGGCATTCTCACCCGTATCCAGGGCAACTCCCTCATCCGCGGCCCCGCGGACGTCGTCAGCGCCATTCTCGCCAACGTCTCCTCCACATTCGCCGCGAACGCGTCCAACGCGCCCCTGCTCCCCTGCGTGCCCGGCCACAACCTCACCTTCCAAATCGGCGGAAAACTCTTTCCCGTCGACCCGCGCGACTTCGTCTCGCAGAACAGCCCCGGGGACGCGGCGACGTGCGTCGCGAACGCGGTCGTGGGCACGGACCCGCCGAGCTCGGGGGCGCTGTTCAGCTGGAGCCTGGGCGATCCGTTCCTAAAGAGCAACCTCGTCGCGTTCTACTACGGGAACCTGACGAACCCGTCCGCGGACCCGCCGCGGATCGGGTTGCTCTCGCTCGTGCCGAGCGACGCGGAGGAGGAGCTGGAGCAGGCGGTGAACGAGGCGCAGGAGAATGGCGGGGTGTTTGAGAGTGAGTCCGTCCCTGAGGTTCCTGGGCATACAGATGCTGATTGCATATACAGCGACGAGCCAGGCCGCGCCGACGGACAGCCGGGTCATCGTCGGCACCGCGTCCAAGACGCACACTCCCGGTCTCAACGGCCTCCCCGGCTCCCTCAGCACCGCCACGCCAGACGAGGAGAACGCCGCCTTCGCCGTGCGGGGCCTGGCGGTCGGGGCGGTCAGTCGAGCGTGCGTCCTCGTAGTGCTTTCGTCGTTATCGCTCTCGCTCGGTGTTCTGTGATGTGTGTGATCGTGTGTGCACCTGTTGTCATCGCTTGTCGTCATCCACTGTATACCTACGCAATGCATTTGGTCTCCTCTGAGCCTGCGCGGTGTCTGCTACGCACGAGATCGGAGCATGGCGGGCATGCTAGGAAGGTGCGCGTCGTCAATCCAGATGTCTACTTAGTTGTTGTCTGAGATTGATCATCACCAGAGCACTTGCAGTCATTCTCAACATTTATCTAACCTGGCCTTGCTTGCGATGTTGATGGTCTCTCTAAAGTAGTCGATGAACCTGTTGAAGGGTTCACTTTCCCCACACGAGCAATCGAGGATAAATCGGAAGCTTCTGGCTTTGAGAAGTGGCCGCATTGAGACCTTCACACCAAGCAGTATATTTCCCAGTTCTTGTTCCATATTCAGCCCCAGTGAAAACGTGCGTGATTTCAGTCGATATAGAACGGGTCAAGTCGCGTCCGGCCGTATGCGCTTGTGCCGTGTCGATTTAGATTGGGCGAGCGATTTTAGGCGCCCATCTGACGTCTTTAACAGGCTCTACTAGTGTGACCCCAGAAGCTACGGATTAAGCGCCTGACCCCAGAAGCTACTGACACGCCTCCAGTTCTCGCATTTCCCTGTCAAAAAGTGTGCACGGGTTACACGCGAGAAGACGTACTTCAAAAATATCATTGTAAAAAACAAAGAAGGAAATCGGAAGGGATTTGCTCCCGATACAAGTCAATCTCAGTAGGGTTTCAAGGGTTTACTGACCTTGGTGAGCTGCCACAAAAAGATCTGCAGCGCCGATCTTTCTGTAACTTCGCAAAGTGTTCTGAACATTCTCAATAAACTTTCTTGTTCAGTCTCCGAAGGGTTCCGGGTTGCAGTATTCGAAAGATAGGAAGAGGTCTCTCGAGCGTGACATTCAGCCACTGACCGAGATAAAGCTGACTTTCAATCTGAGCGCTTCGACAATGTTGCCCCGGCCAACTTCGCTATCAAACGACTGATAACAGCGGTGTTT